AAACACAACCTTAGTTCTTTATTTATATTGATCTCTAGCGGAATTTGACATTGCCTTGCACCTGTGAAGGTGTTACATCAATAACTGGAAAAATGTTTACACATTGGAAAATATTTAGATATGTAAACATTATCTCTACTTTAACCACAAATTAAAGGATTTTCTTCATCATATATGTCAGCTTCCACTGTTTTCAGTATTTGCTCTAATCTTTAAGAGGAAAAAATGTTTTATTCTCTGAGGTTGAAGTCTATTTGTGTTTTCATATGTGCATTTCTCTTTAGTTCATAATTCTTTCACAGATATCCATTATTAATGAATTTTAGTGATAAAACCCACAAAAATGGGGGGTTTGTAGTTGATTCTATTTTAGTTTTATTTGTCTTTCAACAAAAAAAAAGTATTTAATTTCCATTTTCCTATTTCGTTTCACTTATTCATCCATAGTGGATATGTAGTGAACTTTGAATCTTTATTATGTTTCATTATTTCTTAATTTTTCTTTTCAGTGAAACATGCATGCTTAGTTACTAAATCGCTTGTTGAAAACTTGTTGCTTTCCTATGATTTTTTGCTTTATATTTCTGCATAATCAATGCCACTTTAATGTTTACTATGAGTGTGAATTTTTTGGGGTATGAAGCTTAGGGTTTAATGTTTGTGTAAAACTTGAAATAAAGAACATAACCAATGGAATAAAGCAAAGGGCAACCCATAGGTCAAATAAGTACCAGTGCTGCAGAGGCATGAAGAGAAAGAGAAGCAATCCTTATTGCTCTTCAATTATCAAAATACATTTTGTTAGAGTAGAACCAAACAGCATAGCTTCTAGAAGTAGAGATGAACTGTACAGTGTAAAACTATATATCTTGTAATATTGTAAACCTTATGTTTACACTCTCTCCAAACTGAGCCAGCCTAAGTGAGCATAATGTTGTGTTTGATTTGAAAGAAAAAGGTAAAAAAACCTGTACAAACCTTGTATAAATTTCCTACCTTTTTCCCACTTTTTCTTTCAAATCGAACCCAGCCCAAGTGTTTTTTAAATGTGCTTGACTCAGAGATCTTCAATTTTGGTTATTCCTCTATTTTATTATATAATTGTTACACATGAGGTCCTAAATGGGGTTCGATATTTTGTACTGGCTCAAAGCAAGCCCAACCTGCTCCAACTCCATCTTTTATCTTTTGTACAGGTACAACTAGGATGTGGATTATTGGTCTTTGGTTAGCAGCTGGGTTTTCCTTTTCCTGGGTTGAGTCTTGAGATTGGGCTGAGCCTTTGGCTAGCAAACTCTCAGCTTCACTTTTACATATATATATATATACACGTTATTTTTTATCCATAAATTTAATTTATTCAAAGTGAAGTGGCGTCCACTTTAAAAATTTGTTAAATTAAGTGTCCGTTGATTTAAATTAGAATTAGAATCAGAATTAGAATAGTAACTAGAATTGGCTGAAATAGATTCTCATTCCCAGGGGAGGGGGAGGGAATGCCATACCATCAGGAATAAGAATGGGATTCCAATTCCATCCAACCAAACAGTTGAAATCAAAATGGACCACTCCAATTCCGATTCTAAACCCTATTCCCACAAACCAAACAGACCCTAAATTTATAAATCACATCATAGCATCAACAGGGAATGGCATAGCCCGCCTTTTGCCCCCATAAACCCCGGCTTACAGAGCTCTTCTTCACGCACTCTCACCTGCAAAATAGGGAGACCAATTTGATCTCCTAAAACCAGTTTTCTAAAATTATTATTGATGTGGCTCAATTTACACCGATCTTTGCTGGAGCGACGAGTTGGATGAGGTGTAGGTCGAGTCTTTAAAGAAGGCAGACGTTAGAGTGGCCAGGTAGTGGACCTAGACGAAGGAGCTCCGACAATTAAGTTAGTACTGAACTGCGAGAGCTAAAGAGAAAGAGAATTAAGAGCCGGGGGAGTAGAATGATAGCCAGAGAGTAGCGCTGGCAAGAGCCACATTGCCAACAGGTGCTTTTCCGAGTTCCTGCCATCTTAGATATCAGGGTGTTCTGAGGTGGCTTTGGATGTCCACGTGGCAGCGAGTGATTGCATATCATTCTTATCCATCATCAATTATCATAAGCCGTACGTAACACTATAAGAAGAGGGTTCATTAATTCTAAGGTTAGCAAGAAAATCAACTAGCTTATTTGCTTCTCTACAATGGGTTTTAAAACCGGACCGGACCGGATGGTTGGACCGGAAAACTGAGAACTGGTTACTTGATCGGTTCCATTTTCCCTCCAAACCGTTTTTTTCCCCAAAACCATTGATTTTGGTCAGTAAATCATTGAACCGGCTTGTTAACCGTTCTAACCATTTGAACGGTTTTGACCGTTTTTCAAATTTTTATTTTTTTGTCAGAACGGGCCGATCGTTTGAATCAAACAATTGGACCGTTTGAACTGGTAACTGGACCCCTGACCAGTTCGGTTTTAAAAACCATGTTCTCTACACTGATTGAACTAGGCACTGAAAGAGTCACAAAAGCTTTAATCCTAAACACTTAGTAGTGCACTCTCCACTGTGATGTTAGAAATGAGTTGCCAATAAAAGTTCATGGGTAATTGTCTAACCACATAATATAACTACATATAAGGTTTCTTTGCAATTTACTTAAAACAAACTATAAATGGAATTCACTATTTTCTTTTGGTAAAATGGACTTTATTAATTGAATAAACAATAGAAACATATAAGACTATACAATTGGTTTATATTTTTAACTTTTTAAATAATTAATAGTTATTTATATTTTATATACTACCTTTAATAATTTTTTATAATTCAAAAAATAACAATAATTAATATCAACTAGGGTTGCTTATCAAACTGATGAAATCGATCAACTCGACCTGAGTATGTCGGTTTTTCATTATTTTCGATCGACTTTGGTTCAACAATTTCCCAACCCGACTAGGTTGGGTTAATTAGTTTTGCTTTGGCCATTTGTAAGCCGACCAAAATCGAATGATCCAACCATAGATATATACATGGTTCAAAGTATCGATACGCCCCTATGTATCAGTAGGGGTGTATCGGTACTAAAAAATACCCGCTCAATGGTTTTATTTAGTTTTTTTTTCAAAATTTGATTTTTAAAGATGTTTTTTTATTGAAATATTTGAGGGCCTCGAAACACTTGTAAATAGGTGTATCGAGACCTAAAGATACGATACGATACTTTGAACCATGGATATATATTAATATTTTATATTTCAAATATAATTTTTAATACAGAAAAGTGGAAAGATTTCTGTATTTCTTAATCTAAAATATTTTATATAATAAATTTGATTTTAAATTTATTTTTTAATAATACCATTGTAATTTTTTAATTTAAACTTAATATTTAAATTTAATTTTTTATTTTAAATATTTTGAACCAACCGACCAAATCGAAAATCAAGCCAAACCGATACAACCCGAATTGGCCAGTTTTCACTAATGTTCAATCGATTTTGGGTGACCAACTTCCCAATCTAACGTAGTTGATTTGGTTGGCCAAACAGCCTACAACCAAACCATTCCAACCCGTGAACACTCCTTATTTTTGCTAAATTAATAGTCTAGTCACTAATAAACAACAATAGTTTAATCTCTAATAATTATTGAAAATATATTGGTAATGAAAATATAATAAATAACTAATAAAAATACAATAAATACTAAAATATATATTAAATTAGTCAATAAATAGTGTAATCTCAAATAAAAGTTTAATCTCTAATAAATATTTATCAATAAAATATAACAAAAATACAATAAGTACAATAAATTAAATTTAAAAAGTTAAATAGTAGTAGTTTAGTCTCCAATAATTATTGAAAATATATTTATCACAACAAACAATAAATAATTACCGAAATACAATAAATATTAATTTTAGTATACATAAATGTATAATAAATAAAGATTAAAATTTTGAAATTATTATTAATAAATATTATTTTTTTGAAAGTTATTTTCTATAATTATTAATTGATATAAGTGAAATTAGTTATTTACAATATTATTTAGTTATTTAAATAATATCACTATTTAAATTTTAAAATACTAATTAGTTATTGAATTTAATAATCTGTAAAATTTTAATTTATACTATTATAACATAATTTCGTTATTTTTACTATTTAAAATCTATTTATGTTAAATCCTTTATTATTTACAATATTTAGTTTTTTAAATATTTAAATAATATATAAAATATTTAAAAAACAATTTATTTGAATTTTATTTATTTTAAAATTATTATATAATATTAAAAATTTTGTTATATAAGTATTTAGCTATTTTAATATTCTATTATTTAAGATATTTAGTTAGTGAAATATTTAAATTTTACCCTTTTTTTGATTTTCTTATTAATCTTTTTTCTTCCTAATCGCACCTATAGCGTTCGCACTATATATTCAATGTGAAGTGAGATTTCTGGCCTACACTCAGCATAACACACTATAAATCATCCTCCAAACTCCGAAGAAATCACTCTCGTAGACTTGCTTTTCTTTTAACCTTTCTCTCCCTTTACGGTTTACAAGACTGTTGTTCCTTTAATCTTTCTCTCCCTTTACGGTTTACGTAGACTTGTTGTTCTTTTAACGTTTCTCTCCATTTATGGTTTATATAGAGAAGAATCTAGTCTCAAGATTCTCAATTCGCATGAATCCAAAATAATAATGAGCAGTTTAGTTGCTTCGTCATTTTTACCTTTTCTCTCTTTTGGGTCCTACAGAGATATTTTCAATGACCCAAGATTCTGCCATTAATCCCCATCCCCAGCAGCAGACTTGTCATAGCAATAATCTTTGGAAACGGATGTCTAAGCCTCCTTCTGAAACTGCACTCATCTTGAATACTTTGTCTTGGCCTGCTCTCTCTCATTCTTCCCCAAAAGCTCATCTCAGGGGTTAATTGCCGGAATCATCTTAGGGAGAGATTATACCTAGCAAGAGTCTGACTTCGATGGTCACTGAGTTCTTGGATATCAATGCAGGGCCCGTCTCTACCGATATCGATTATGCAACGGTTTCCTCTAGTGATAAAGAGTCTTCTTCTTGTGTGAATTTCAAGCTTTCCGCTTCAATTGATGCATCTGACCAAAATGTCACTTCATTGCCATCGTCCACTAAGTCGTCGTGTCCTACACCAGCTTCAGTTAACTCATTGAGGCCCTTCAATCATCACAATAACCGGTATCCTTATCATTCTTCTCCAATGGGGTTTTATCATAATCAGAGGGGGAATAAGTCTCATTGTAATCAGAATATTTAGAATTATTCAAATACGTGTCACCAGCCAAAGAACCCACATCAGCCGTTTTGGATTTGTTAATGGTCCCATAGGGTTTCTTTCGCCACCACCACCGCCACCTCTTTGGCATTCTTTCCCTCCTCCGATTGCAATTGTCAATCCTCCATATGTCAATGTTCTTCCTCCATCTCCCCCTCCATTTCCAGGCTGCATGCCTCCGTATGGGTATTACAATAATGGTTACTGTTCACTTACAGATGCATACTATGGTCCGCTGGTGGGGCCACCGCCAGCACCTTTTATGGAAGCTGTTAATGGCGGACCACCACCATATCCTCAAGAACCTTCTCCTCTGCATGGGTTTCCTCACCACGAATTTGAACTGTGCACAAAAATACAGAATCGAATAGAATATTACTTCAGTGAACAGAACCTAGTGGATGATTTCTACCTGAGGGGCAAGATGGCTTATGAAGGCTGGGTTCCTATTGATCTTATTGCTGGGTTCAGAAGGATAAAAGCACTAACGAGTGATGTTGATATGATAGTTAGATCACTGAAAATATCAACTACTGTGGAGGTAAAAGATAATCATGTCTGTAAGCGTTGAGATTGGATGACTTGGCCTCTGCAACGCCGTTCCATGAATGCAGCACAAACAAGCTCTGGGCTTCTGAATGGTTTTGAAGATTTGCAACTGAAGGAGAAACCTGAAGCAGAAGCACATTGATCGATCGTGGAAAGAAATAAAGAAGAGAGCCTCCTGTGGTGATTTTTAAGCAAACTTGTGTATAGAAGTCTTTATTAGTCGAATCAAAATATTCTTTTATTGAGAATACTTGGTTTTAGGGTTGTCTAAGTCCGTGAGTATGTGAGTGAATGTGAGAAAAGAAATGAGAAGAAAGGTACCCTTTTCTCTTTTATATTACAATTCTTTCAACCTATGCTTCACAGTTCGCCATTGCGTTGTACCTGGGAACAAAGGCACCTAATTACTATATCAACACAGAATAGATCAAATTCATTGCCATAAAAGATAGACAAATGAAATCATATATATGTCAACAAGCCCAACTAAAAATTACTATATCTGAAGTTTCAAATCCAAACGTCAAACAAATTTATATCAACCGATAAGTTCCATGTAGATTTGATAGTGAACAAGCTATTAGAATTTTCTTTCCAAACCAGCTTATCATTTCCTTGATTAGACCAATTTGCTAACAGAAAGAAGCATCTCACTTAAAATATTTCTTTCCAGAGATGAAAGGCATTCTAAGAGACAGAGACAACACTTAAGTGTTAAAGAGTTAAGAATTCAAATACCTTGAACTCAAAAAACGGACCCATAAAAAATTCTTTTCCAACAGCCTAAAACAAACTTTTTATTACATCATTAAGTAATAAAGTTTTCAAGGGTATAGTGATCTACCCATCTTCAGTTTCCATTGTTAAGGAGACAAACCACCTCCTTAAAAACTTATTCACTTAAAGACGAAGCAATAAGATTTTCAGTTTAGCATCTTCAGCTGGTTCTCCTGACCCAACTTTCTAAGAATTTAATTCAGACTGGACTTTGTTATCCAATGTGAACTCTATATTTGGCCTGAGATGGGCTTACAACTACTTGGATTGGGCTTGGATTTATTACCTAAATCCCTGCTGGGCCTTCTGAAGTGCATCCTCACCATAACAGCAATGGGGTGCCCTCCTAAGTCCTAAGCAACTATATATTGATCTATTACAAATACCCTAATTTTGTAAGAATTTAGCTCAAGCTTCTGGGATTGATTGTTTTGCTTGATCTCTATATCAGGATTTAGGCCCAAGATGAGCTTAGGCTGGGGTAAAACTCTAGGATTGGGCTTGGATTGACCTTAAACGCTTAAACCCTGCTTAGCTTTGTGATTTTGAACTTCTGTATTTGCCAATTGCTGGAGGGCATCCTCGTCGTAACAGAGATAAGGTGCCCTTCTAAGTGACTCTAGATCTTCGATTATGCTATACCTTCAAAGAAGTCAGAAGTAAGCACACCAACAATCCATACTATTACCGGACATACAGTAGTTAACTTGCTTAGTCCTGATTGGTTTTCGTAACCAGTTCTACATGTCTTCTTGTTTGTAGCACATCCACAGTCCTCCTAAAATGCTTTGTGTCTAAGCATAGAAGTAGAGGTGCAACTTGGGTGATCCCAACTTGAGTTTTCTGTATGGGTTTGGCCTGTGTTTTTGGGCTGTGGGCTGGGCCTGGGCCATAAGGCTTGGGTATGGCCTAAACATGGGTTGCCTGAGCTCCGATTAAGACTCTAAAACTTGGTATTTCAGTGGATTTAAAAACTGGTATCTAGAATTAGCACCAATTGGTTACGATATTTTGTACCTTGCTTAGTACTTTTAAAATGGGCACCCATGTTTTCATTTTTTATTTTGAAAACTAAGATCAAAATTGCTTTCTGTTGCAGGTATGAGAGTGCTGAATTTTGTTACTCTTATGGCTGCAAATGGATTGGATTCAGTCCCATTCCAATTTGAGTCCAAGTTGTTTGAGTTCAACTGTGATATTTGATTAAGCAATAACCGTATTGGGTTGGAGTTGAAATTAGTCATATTAGATATGGATAGTACTTCATTTTATTCAGATCAATCTATATAATTTAAAGTTCTTTAGGATTATGTGGGATTTGGGATTTAAATAAACCTATTCCTGTCTGAACTTCAATAATCTAATTGGATTTGGTAACCTTCAAAATCATCCCTAAATCACCAAAATTGTAAAATTGTACCCATTTATCTAGGGATCGGTGCATTGCAGTTTATGAGTGCTTGTTCTATTCAAGGTTTTTAAAATTGAATCGGACAATAAACTGGTCAGGGGTCCGGTTTTTAGGTCGAACGGTCTGACTGATCGAACCAAACAGATGGCTCATTCTGACAAAAAATAGAAAAACGACCAAACCATTGGACAATTTGAATGGTTCAGACGGTTCAACCACCGGGTCAATGATTTTCTGACCAAATCAATAGTTTTTGGCAAAATAACAATTCTGGGGTTCCCGATTTTTTCTGTCCAACCGTCCGATTTTGAAAACCATGACTCTATTACAAGATTTGAGGTATCACCTAGAGAGTTGCAACCATTTCAAATCTCTCCAAACTCAGAAATTTTGAGGTGTTTGCTGTTTTATTTTGGAGCTGCAGTAATTAGGGAGAATTGAAACATCTCGCTATCTTGTCGGATTTGAGTCTCGCCAACTTCAAGAAATTCAGGTTATTATTATTATTATTAGGGAGATCTTAAATGTCACTTCTATGAGAGAAAGAGATACCTCAAGTCTCGCCAGGTAATCCAACACTACAATTACAAATAGGGGTCCCTCCATTTTTGCATCTCTCATCTTCCGAGAAAAAAAAAATATTGCCTCTTTGACACTTTAACTTTAAACGTCCAAAATAAATTCCCAAACAGTTCTTAAAATTCAGGAAGTGCAAGAGGAGAAATAGAGAAAGATAAGAAGAAGAAAAAAAATCAGATTTAAATTAGAGTTTTATTTTAGTTTAAAATTGCTTTCTTTACCTTTTCTTGATTTCCTTCCTTTTATTTTCATTTTTTACGTGAGCCTTCAGGTAAAGGCTCAACTTTATCTAAAGTAACTTGGGAAAACGAAAAGGATTTGAAAGGATCACCATTAGCCTTAAAATCCTAAATTCCTAATTTTGAAATTTAATATTTCTTTCATTCAAAACCTAGAAGAAAATTTGGTAGAGTTTCTTTCTAGGGTATTGGCGTTTTAATTATACCAAATTGAAATTACCCCCCTAGAAATGTGTTCATAATACCATTGGAAATTCTCCTTATTTGTTTTCTTCAATTTTCATAAAATTACTTTGATTTTCTAAAATCTAGTTGTTGTGTTGTTCACATCACAAAATTGCAGTTCCTTAAATTATCCTTTCGTTGCATTTTTCTTATCTCTTTCATAAAGACAATTTTGATCCCCTTGGTGGATTCAACTTCCAGTGAACTCCAGACAAGACAAGGGCCATGCACACTGCTCTCTAATCTTGTTAAACCTCATTTCCCTCTAATTTTCCTATTTACCTTGAATAGGTTTTTCTCTCATATCTTGATTTAGGCATTTGAACCTTTCAGGATTGTTTCAGTTTAATGAAACTATGACCATACTATGAATACGAGGGGTGAAGCTTATGCCCTTTTTGCATCATCAATGTAGAGCAGTAGAGCTGATGCCTTAAGAAGCTCACCCTAACTCTTTATCATTGGTTATTAACAAGGTTTAAAATATTGATACAATACATCCGATACATCTTATAAAACTAAAAAAAGCATTGAGTGGTTTGTTTTTAGTACCGTTATACCCCTACCGAAACACATGGGCGTATCAATACTTTGAACCATGGTTATTAACTCTTTATCTTTGGATGGATTAGAGACCATTGACTATGTTCGTTTATGAGCATAAGAGGAATGGAAATCCTCTAACAGTAATAGTGTAACCTTTTGCTTTTAGCCATTTTCCCTTCTCCATTTTCTCATTTTTTCCATTATCATTTCATTTCATCATATTGAACAATTGATCATTTTCCATTTGTTGATATCATCACGACATTCCTTCTGATTTCCTCAAAAGTCACATTCGCAGCTGAAGCAAGCACGAGAAAAATCAGGAAAATCATTCGTTATTATTTTCAAAGAAAATCATTCATTTTCCTTTATTTTACATCAATAGATTGACTATTGAACATGCAGCCAATCCACATACTTGTCTTTATAACTTTTAGGTGAGTTGGCCTTGTCATACTTCTGGCTGGCTGAAATTGCAAGAGATCTCTCATTCACCAAGGAAAGCTGGTGATCTATTTATTACAAAAAACAATATACACACACGACACGCACAAAAGTAGAATGATAATATATGGGGAGTCTGGATCTGCTCCTCACACTGACCTTAGAGCATGTCCCGGCCACATTGAAAACTATTATCCATGGGGGATGTTTTCAATACACGGTGGGATGTGGCTGTAAGATCCGTGTGAAGAGYAAATCCCAATTCATACATGGGGAGAACTCACAAAAGAATGTCTTATCTATTTATTACAATTTTTTTTAATATTTTCTAAAATTTCCAAGGAATCACACATTAGGGTTTGTTGAAGCGTTYTGACAAGTTCCAAAAAGAAAAAAACCAAGAGGATTGATCCTCAATTAGTCTTGAGACCCAAGCATGTAGAATAATCACATCACTTGTATGATAATTTCCGTCTCCTACTCCGTATGAGAAGATAAGACCGCACCCACACCTACTTTTGGTACTATTCCATCTCACTCAAGATCATCACATCACCCCACTTTCTACTAGAAGACAACACGACACATAGGAGATGAGGTGGAGCTAATAATTCCAACCCGCACTGGCGAGCAATGAATATTGTTAAATGACCAAACTGTCCCTAAATTCTTTGCCTCACATCATATCATATCCATGTCTAACAGGGGTACTCTCTTTTGGATCTCTAATTGCCCTTATGACCTAATTCTTTATACCCTTAGTCGCACTATTTCCTAAGAACTTACTAACTAGTTTCTTTTTTTTGGTAAATAGAAGTAACTAATTAATTAGAAAGGTCAATTATCACCATACATTTTCAACAAATGGATGGAGGAGGCATCACATTGATGGGGTCTTTTAAACAGATTAAATATGGTTGTTCACTCTATTTGGTCAATTTAAGGATTTGCATGCATATATGAAAGGCTGGGGCGTTTTAGTAATTTAACACTTTACAAGTCTATACATAAGAAACCATCTCCAACATTTTAGTAGTCTGAAGCTATCGCTGAAAGGAGTATAAGAAAATGTTCCCAACCGTGACTGCTTTGCTAGTTTTTTTTCTCTTCGCTTGCTATACAACCTTGGCCTCTGACCCTGATCCGGTTCAAGATTTCTGCATACCCAATACAAACTCCAGTCTTTTACCTAGCTCAGTAGGATCCAACCTCCCTTGCAAGAACTCGTCTGAGGCCACTCCAGATGACTTTGTTTTCTCCGGCATAAAAACTGCCGGAAACTTCAAAAAGACCGGCTTCTCAGCCATTTCGGTAAACCCCATGCTCTTTCCAGGCCTTAACACACTTGGGATGTCATTTGTGAGAGCTGATCTTGATGTTGGGGGCATAAATGTGCCCCATTTCCACCCAAGAGCGACTGAGCTTGCATATGTAGCAGAGGGCAAGGTTTATTCTGGTTTCGTCGATTCTTCCAATCGTGTATTTGCAAAGGTGATTGAGAAAGGAGAGGTAATGGTGTTTCCTAGAGGTCTGGTTCACTTCCAAATGAACATCGGACACTCACCTGCAACAATTCTTGGAAGTTTTAATAGCCAAAACCCTGGATTGCAAAGAATTCCAACAGCAGTTTTTGGATCGGGGATAAAAGAAGAGCTCTTGGAGAAGGCCTTTGGGTTGAGTGCAAGGCAGATTAGTGTGATGAGGAGGAAATTCATCCCCATTCCGTAAGAGCTTAGGTGTATTCTGAAGTGGGAGACTGGGAGTAGAACACTTCAAATTTCTCTTTGTTTGGTCCTCAATTAGGTGACTAGATGTGGAGGATAAAAGATTTTTGTCTTACTATTTTTATTCAACAAATTGGGACTTGCTCATATTTCAAATCATGGTTTATTTAAACTTTTCTTTCTCCATTTCTTGAAAGAAGAATTTTCCTTAGCTAAAGGAACTGGTAAAGAGATCAGGCTAATCTAATTGAAATGGCTAACAGATCCATCTATAGAAGTTGTCAGTATTTTTTTTTCTTTTCGATAGGTTATTGAAGTTGTTAGTTAGATCACAACTTGTAAAGGGTTCTGAGATGTTTTAGAAATAGATTCTAAATCGATGATGGGTACCCTTATATGATTGACATTCAAGAAACATCACAACAGTGCTAGCAGTGACCTTGGTGGGTCATACTAAAAAACTTGTATAGAGAGTGTTAGCTCCTCCTAAAAGAAGAAGAATCCAACAAGCAACACAAAATGCAAAAACTGGAGAAATAAATCAGTTTTCTGATTCCTACACCAATTTCAGAATTTTTTATATAACTATTAATTTATCAAAAACAATGCAAAAATTGTTGATAAAACTTTGGTTTCTCCCTTTTTGTCCAATACGGGTGGCTCATCACAATAGCAAGGAATTTTCACAGGGTAATTGAACTTGGTTATTATCTGAATCCGTTGAATTTTGAGACAAATGATGACAGAACTACATACCGATTCTGAAACCACCTACACAGTCGGAAACCATCTCAGCAACATGATCCTGCCGATAACTTGTTCCTCGACGTTTAAATGTCAGCATCCAGGAAATTCACAGGTAGTGATACCTTCAAACCCAACTTGAATGGAGGGAGACCCCGGTAGGGGCATGTACTGCACCGGAACGCATCTCCTAATCCACAATTGCCACATGCAGATTGAGGGTTATTTATCTGGTCTGCAGTCAGTCCCAGYTTCTCCACCTTCTCCTCTGCCTCAGCCCGCCCACAAGTGCAATTTTTACAAGCTTTCCTAGTGCTTCCAACTTCACAGTCGCCAACAGGTGGCAGTTGTGGTTTCTTCAGGTCATCTTCTGTCAAAAGGCTGTCTTCATCAATAAGATCTGCATCGTCATCAATTTTGATTTTGGGCCAACTTTTTTCATTTTCTTGATAGAAAATGATGAACCAATTTTCCAAGAAGGCTTCTTGGCCTTGATTGTAAGTGGTTGAATATCTTCTTGCTGCATAAACGGTTTCAATTGAACAACTTGTGCTTCCAGGAATCCAGCTACCAGTAACTTTCCCTTCCAAAGTAGTGCTTGGTTTATCTATGTTTTCTGCAGCAGGCTGAGAAATCTGAACTGAGACTGTTCCACCAGGTTTCAACACTCTCAGTATCTTCTCAAGCAACCGATCAGCAGGTTCAAGTGTTCTTGAAATATAGACGACAAGATCCATTGAGAAGGACTCAATCGGAAACTCTTTCAAGGACGAAGCTTGAGTGATGACTAGGGGGTCATTTTGTTGTCCAATCTCTTCACCCTCAAGGTCCTTAATTGCTGCTGAAATTGCACTGACAGGAACAATCACATGATCTGTAAGCGCCAGCACATTCCCTTTAATTGCATCCATATTTGGTCTTTCCTCAATCTTAGCAACAATCACGACGATTTTATCCGCAAGCAACGAGGAACAACGTGATCTGCAATTAAAAGACCTCAGAACTTCTCAAACCCCAGATTTATTTTTTAGTTTTGTTATGATTCGGCCTGCCTTGGAGTTCTATTTGTCTGAGATCAATCACGTAGAGAGAAGTAGAAAGGTGGAAGAAAAAGAGAGAGAGAAAAGGAGAAAGTCTAGTTCGAACTGGAAGTCAAAAAACCTAACTCCCATTCGGCCAGACATGTGCTTTTATTATTAAAATAAATGGAAAAGACATATGTGCCCTTATTTAAGTAAGGAGCACTGGTTCTAACATAATATTACAGATCAACAACCTTAATATAAGTATAGAGACAGAAATACCCCTTACGCTAACACTTCCCCTCAAGTTGGTGAGTATATATCATATAATCCCAACTTATTACATATGTAATCCACTCTTCCCCGACTTAACCCTTTTGCAAATAAGTCTGCCCACTAATTTCCTGTATTAACGTATGCAGTGTCTAGCTCTCCATTCAACACATTTTCCCTCACAAAGTGACAATCAACCTCAATGTGTTTGGTTCTTTCATGAAATACCAGATTAGAAGAAATATGAACTGCAGCTTGATTGTCACAATAGAGTTTCATTAGAGTATTGATGTTATACCATACTTCCTGTAGAAGGTTCCTTCGCCACACTAATTCACAAGCAGTATGCGCCATAGCCCTATATTCTGCTTCTACACTACTTCTTGCCACGATTGTCTACTTCTTAATTTTCCATGTCACCAGGTTACCCCCAGGAAAGTGCAACAGCCTGTGTGGTAGACCGCCTATCAGACATAGAATCGGACCAATCAGCATCAGAATACCCTTCTATTTCAAGTTTTCCGCCACTGTTGTATATCAAACCACGACTTGGAGCCCCTTTTAAATACCTCACAATTCTCAAAACTGCATTCCAAAGAGGAATCAAAGGTTTCTGCATGAACTGGCTTACCACACTAACCGCAAATGAGATGTCTGGCCTAGTAATGGTTAGGTAGTTCAGTTTACTTACAAGTCGTCGATATCTGCCAGGGTCTTCAAACACTTCTCCCATATCACTGCTTAGCCTAGTATTTGTGTCCATAGGTGTTTCAGTTGGTTTAGCACCCAACAAGCCTGTTTCTTTCAGCAAATCAAGCACATATTTCCTCTAGCATAGATTAATACCATACTTAGATCTCGATACCTCTATCCCTAAGAAATATTTTAGTTTACCAAGATCCTTTGTATGAAAATGTTCCTGTAGATAAGTCTTCAGCCTGTCAATACCCATGTTATCATTCCCGGTAATAACAATATCATCTACATACACCATCAACAATATTTTTCCTCCCGGAGAGTCATGACTGAATACAGAATGATCAACTTGGCACTGTTTCATAGCAAACTTCTTTACCACCTCACTGAACCTACCAAACCATGCTCGAGGAGACTGAAAATTGTACTCTTTACACCATAAACCCTACGCCTATGGCTACCTGAAATCTCACCACTATATGATCACAACTCTTCCTTCAAAATACACAAAAACAGCATAAACCCTAGCACACTACTGTCTGAAACCTTAGCATATGATYTGAAACATACTTCCTATTTGATACATAACAGAAATCATGCATAGAAATCTCTTACCTTTTCATTGAAGGAACAATCACATGAGCAGAAAATCAGTCCACACAAGACAACCACTGCACCACACAGATCGGCCCTTTGCTCTTCATCGATTAGGGGAAGGCTTCTTAGAAACCACAGCAACTGACCACACAAGATATGACTGGAGGCATAGAAACCTCCAAGGGAAGAGGGCGATCACTTATTTTCAACCCTTTCCCTTATCTCCAGTTGAATGCAGGAAAATCAAGAGAAACCCTAGATTGGGTGCGCTGAGAATAGAAATCTAGGCAGATTCAAGTAGCTCTGGTACCATGTTATGATTCGGCCTGCCTTGGAGTTCTATTTGTCTGAGATCAGTCATGTAGAGAGAGGTAGAAAGGTGGAAGAAAAAGAGAGAGAAAAAGAGAAAGTTTGGTTCGAACTGGAAGTCAAAAAACCTAACTTCCATTCGGCCAGACATGTGCTCTTATTATTAAAATAAATGGAAAAGACATATGTGCCTTTATTTAAGTAAGGAGCACTGGTTATAACATAATATTACAGATCAGCAACCTTAATATAAGTATAAAGACAGAAATACCCCTTACGCTAACAAGTTTGAAGAAGGAAACTGTAATAGTCGCACGCTCCTTAATTCAAAAACCTCAAAGCAATCGTCGATTGTTCCCCGAACAAAAATAGAGAACTAAGAGAAATGGCTAAATAAATAAGTCCTATTTTAAAGTACAATGGTTCACCAACTGGAGATGAGTTCGAGATAGTTGTTATTACCAATGACACGGCGAGAAAAGATGGCAATGGCCGGTGGAACGAGATCTTCAAACCCTCCTCAGAACAAAAAAAAGCTCAAAACTAATAAAAAATTGCTAGACTGTGCAAGTCGGATGGGATGCAGCGTGCAAATCCAAAGTTACCTTGCGTAACGATGTAAAATAGTCGGAGATTGACCGTCGGCTAGCCCAAGTCAGTGAAGTCCACGAAGAAGACGATGAGGTAATTTTTCTCTACACCATCTAGAACTTTCTTTCCTCACTCAGTTAGGGTTGATAATGGGTCGAGCCAGGCCGGGCGAGCGGGCCTCATTCTGGGCCTATAGGTTTTGTGCAAATATAATCTACAATGTGACTATAAAATAAAAAAAAAAAGTTATGTGGGTGGGGGCTGGGCCTGAAGTATTAGTTCCAGGCCTGACCCTGAGATTTGCGGGGCTTGTTCCACGTACAAGAGCTGTCAGATCAGGCTGTACTGTTGTAGCTCCAAATACTCAATGGTTGATCTCAAGTATTGGAGCAACGGCACCAGATCAGCGCCACATTGGAAAAAATGGTGCTCCAGGAAACAGGCATTTGTTTGGAACCATTTTTTCATAAAAAATGATCCTCCAAGTCATGCTTCGGAAATCAATAAGTCATAGCTTGGAGCAATGTCAAATTTGGCGTTTCCTAGAGCTGCGGCTCAATGCTGCCATCAGGGCAGTGATGTGACATTGGATAATGGGTATCAGTGCTAAAAACGTTTCCTAGAGCAATGATTTCAAACAGAAAAAGTTATTGCTGCTCCTGGCAGCAACGATTCCAAACAAAAATAAAGACACCCTCCAAGCCACGCATCAGCAGCACCATTTTCTCTGTAGCATCGATTCCAAACATATATTTAGTCGTTCATATAGCGCTCGCTTAACATGCGAGAAGTCATTACACACTGACACACAGCAATGAGCGTGGTTGTCAAAACCCCCTAATTTTTAACTTGTAATCTGATGTTCAAAAGTTGTTTATATTTGAGAAAATATGAATGTAATTTATATAATAGGGATAGGTGGCAGTTATTAATATTTTAATTTGACATTTTTATTACATTTATTATTTATGTAGCCATGCATATTATTTGGGATTTCTAATTGGGTTAAATACAATGGGATGACCCAAAACTATATTAGGAACCAGAATTTCTATACTAATATAATTTGGTTTGGTCTAAGAATTTTTCAAACCGTAATTTACTGGTTTGGTATGAGATCTTCTCCAAACTTAATCATGAATGCTCCTAGTTGATGTTATTCTGTTTGGTTTATGGGTGCAAGTCAAGTACTTGATTCTAGTCCCCATGAAACCTAAACATATGCTTAACCCAAGCCCACTCAAGTACGATTGGCAACCGGACAGGGATCATATTCCCCATCCCTAACCCCGATTTTTAAGTAACTTGCTGTTCCTAGCCTTGATCCTTATCGAGGAGAAAAATAAAATTTCATCCTCAATTCCCAATAGATGTGGGTTGCTCATTGGGGACTCGAATCCCTGATTCTTTTTTAATTAAAAGCTTCCTTGGAAAAAAAAGATTTACTTAAAAGAACAAAAAATATTAATATGAATTTGTTTAGCATTTAACTAACAATATTAGTCATCAAGATAACATAGAAGTTGAAATTTGTCCAATATATGTAGTGGTATTATGAAAGTTACACAAAGTATTTTCACTCCCTATCCTTGTTCCGGTTCCCGATCAAGTATCCCAAATACTCTATCTCCGTTTTTAATTGGGATTTGTTCCTCATTAAGCGCACCTTACACTAACCTTACAGCACTATCCCACCATGTATTGAAAACATCTTCCTATGAATAACAAGAGATGTTTCCAATGTACAATTGGAGTCACTGTGAAATTTGTGTGAGAAGTAGATCGGGACTCCCCCATTCTTTCTGAAACCGTCTCCATCCTAATTTCATTTGGTTGGAGTTCAAAATGAAAATTGTCATCCCTACACCCAAATGGCATCCACTAATTTGATTGAACTCAATTTTGGAGCCACTCTGGAACAAAAAACAAGATTTGCAAAAATAATTTGTTGCTAAAAACACATAGTTAAATAACTAATTATAACATATCCTTAGTCCCTTAAAGTCGTAGAATATCTTCTCAAAGAGTTGCATGTGATCCGATTGCAATGAAACGGCCAATGTGGCGCTCCCATCTTGGGCTGGGCTGGGTAGGATATATGCCATACCCTCATGGAGAACAGTAGCTGGGCCCATATATATGGGCCGGCCCCATCCAAAATCTGCATCATATATTGGTAGTTGAGTCCAGTTCACAATCCCCATATTAGGGCATCGAAATGTATCGGCCCCACGTACGAGGGCCGTCAGATCAGGTTGTAACTCTAAATAATCAATGGCTGATCTGAGGTATTCGTCGTTCATCCGCATCAGCTGATCATGGATTCTTCCCACAGCATACGCCAGAGGCTTGGACCGGAGGTCACCGGCCACGCCAATGGGTGAAGTTACCAAGGTTCCATTCCCGAAATAACCCTGAGGGAGTGGGGGCCGCAGCCTGGACCGCAAATCAACGGCCATGTAGAGTTTGGTATCTTGATCATCACAGAGGCCACGTGCCTTACACACGCAGCGCCACACGTGTCCAACGAGCACTTCGTAGGAGCTGTAGTTGAGTGTGTTGCTATCCTCTTCGGCCTTTGCTTTGAGGGCGTTGATTTGATCAACGGTGATCTTGAGCTTGGCCACAGCAACGTGGGTGGGACCGGATTGGGATGTGGGGGTTTTCATGGATGGAGGGGGAAGATACTCGATGTGGTGGAAGGCAGGTGTGGGTGGGTGACGCGCGTGTAGCTGGGATCGATCCAATGAGGATGGGATTTTGAGTTGGAGGCCACGTGTCAGTTCAGACCATGAATTGATGAAGTGGATAATGGAAGCTCCGTCCACCAGGGAGTGGTGCATTGCCACTCCAAGAGATACTCCACCACACCTGAATCGAGTTACCTATAACAATTGGGACAATTGAGAGAGTTCAGGCGGTAAGCTTTTTACAAGGAAATAAAAATTTAGGATAGTTTAAGCCTTTTACAAAGAAATAAAAATTTAGAATAAATTCTTTAAAATAATCTTTTTGTCACATTCCCTTCTCAAATTTTGTATATTCCTAAGGGGGCATTCTTTTTTTGGATTTTGAGAGGCCGAAAGTCGGTTAATGGGATTTTGGTTCCCATTGATTAAGAATCCCATATTTTTTTTTCATATTTATGTGGAGACTAGTGAAAGTTTATTTTCTTGGGTATCACTTACCCGGATAAGTGATACTCACCTGAGGGGAAAACTGGCAACACTTGAATGGGACAAAAATGCCCCTTTTAATAATGAAATTTTATGGATAAAATGACCATTACCTTATTTACATGGAAAATAAAAGAATATGGGTAAATGTATTTACCCGGGTAAGTGTTTCCCAGGAAAAACTTACCTAGGTAACTACATTTACCCGGGTAAATAACTTACTGAAAAGCGAATGAGGCCTAAATGTTTTAAAAACCCATTCATAACTAGAACTGCTTTGATCACCAGTTTTTGGGTCTATAAATTATTGATCCGGTTTCTGGGTCAATGGTTTTTGGGAAAATAAAGCTTTGGGATTGAAATGAAAGCGGTATATATTCACCAGTTTCTGGGCTGAATGGTCCAACCATCCGAATCAATCACAAAATTGCTCATTTTCACCAATCCTAGTCATTCTAATAGTTTTTTTTTTAATTAAAAAAACTACATGAAATACAGCCACGAAAATGAAGTACCAAATAAAATTTTTACCTAGATTAATCTAGACCATCAAAATGGTATCATAATATTAATGAATTAGGGTCTATTAGGTTTACGGTCCAAATCGGAATCAAAATTTTTCAGAATTGGAATTAGGAATAGTCTATTCCCATAATCTGTTTGGTTCCGACAGAAATGGAAATGGAAATTAAATTTAGAATCAGCTGAAATAGAACTTCATTCCCCAGGAAAAAAGGGAGGGAGGGGGGAGAAAGTGAGGTGCAAAATTTTCAATTAATCTAAGCCTTGCAATTAAAGCATTAAAATCTCCAAAAACTCTAGGTCATCTAAACTAGAGTGACTTTAGACCATAAAAAAGGCTTCTTAAAAAATCAGTTCATGAATCTCAACCATCGAAATGGTGTATCAAATTAATCCAAAGATCCAGGTGTTCTAAATGGTCTTTAATATCAGTGAATTAATATGAACCATCCAAATATGCCACATATAACAAATTAAATCAAGGCCATAAAAAGTGTATCAAATCAACCTAAGAGGTTGGGCCATTAAAGCAGTCTGCTATAGTAGTGTATTAATATCATCCATCCAAGTTATGTATTGATATTTTTTGCTAAAATCTAATGACATTCCAAACTTAAGTTTGTTTGGTAAACAATTTAAGCTGATATATCATTTGCATATTTTTACTTATAGATTATAGGCCTTTTCTAATACACTATTTACATAATTTTATTTTAGAAAATTTCATGCAACAATTGAATAGTTGACATCAATTGAAATATTGATTGGTTAATGATTAATTCACTATTTAAAGAGACCACTTTGATAGCATAGAGCCTCAGAACATCACTTGGATAGTTGAACTTAAATCACTAATCTTAAGAGATTACTCTGATGATTTGGATCACTGGGTTGATTTGGTATATAAGTTGCATGATCTGAATTTGATACAGCACCTTATTTTTTTCTAAGAATTTGATATAAAATTTGTAGGAGAAGTACTATTGGATAGATATTAGGACACCTAATGATGTTCATGGTCCAGTTCGGTGTGGTTTGGAGAAGATTTAGACCAAACCAGTAAAATATGGTTAGAGATTTGCTCATACCAAATCAAATCAAACGGTTTTATTTTGGTGTGATTTCTAATCTTGTTTAAGCCATTTTACTGGGCTTTAATCAATTGGAAAGCCCAACCAACATTTATGCCTGTATAAATAACAAATATAGTCTTTTAATTATGGCAAAATCATTTAGTCATTGATAATGGTATCCTATGTAAGCATCAAGTTTGGTTAGAATAATATATTTTTAAGAACTTATGGTCAATTCTATTGATCATCAAATATTGTTTTGAGAATATATATATATATATATATATTTATATATATATATATATATAAATAGATAGATAGATAAATAGATAGATAGAGAGAAATTCACGGACCAAACCAAACTGCCAATTTCAGTTGGACCATATAATGAACACCCCAATCGGTTGATTGGGGTTAGGGGTTGTAATTTGAGTTGGGTCATGGTTAGGGTTCTAATTCTTTGGATTGATGATCTAATTCCAATCAACTATAGCCTGATTTGCACCCCTAAATTCCCCAACTACAATTGCTTTGCTTCTATAATGTAAAGTGTACCTGTAACAGAAGGAGAGGATAAGAAGAGATGTGTTGGGAGTAATCCACCACCGGAATGAGCTGCCTGAGTTCCTGAGTAGCAGAGAAGTCTCCGAAATCATCGATAGTGGAACCTGTTTCAGCCTCAACGAGTAAGACGCCCTTGCCATTGCAGTTGATCTCGAGCCGACCACCCTCATTATTTCCGTTCAACCTTCCGGCGACGGGATAGAAAGGAACAAGAACCTTGCTCAAAGCCTCCTTGAGGAGATGAAGGTTGAAGAAGTCGGCAGAACCATTGGACCTGAAGAAGTAGACAATGGGAGTGTGACTTCTTCGCACCACCAGATCCGCGTTAGAGATCCATAGGGTCTGCTCCGGTGTAGACTCGGCTGGCCGCACCATTGTCGACTCTTTCATGTTAATTATCATCTTGTGAGCAGAAAATTTCGTTGAATCAATAATCAAGAATAACAATTGCCACAAGACTCTCTCAAATTAGGTTGGTATGAAGAAACAGTCATACTGTCATACATGGCTGATGTAAGAGTATGGGTGAAATTATTGCAAAGTTTAAGAGTAAATAAGTTTCAATGAAGGGGAAGCATCTCAAGTTGAAGAAACATTTAGTTTAGTAAAGGCAAGAGGGGTATATGTCCAAGAGTTCTGGGCAACCCCAGAGATTATTGAAAAACGTGCTTGCAACCTTTGGAATCTTTTGTATGATTTCACTTTCACTGTCAAAATTATAGAGGAGAGTTGGGGGACAAAGGCACAGAGCTGAGCTGTGTTTTCGAAGAAGTTGACAAAAACCACTAAAGAAAGAGGACAGACGAATAGTTGCCCATATCAGCTATAATCCTTTTATTAAAAACCAATCAATAAATGGATCACATAATACAAATAGGTTTTCCTTTTTCCTTTGAACAAAAAGAAAAATATATCACCGAATTTCAGGTAAAATTAGTTGGACCCATGAAGTATTATGACAATTCTAATCAGTTTAAGTTAAATTAAATTTACCCTTTTTTTATATAGGAGGGAAAAAGGCTCTAAAATAAGGGGTAAAGCAACTCCAATGATCAAGGGCAGAGCCAGGGTGTCTCGGGTGAACCATAATCCCCACTTAGTACTATTCCTTTTCATGTAAATTTTCTCTTTCCCCCACTCATGATTTGCCCCCTAATGCCTCATCCATATTTATCATCCTATCCCCATCTATTTAATTATGTTTTGGCCCTGGTAGACAAAATTATGGCTCCTCCCCTACAAAAAGTCATTAAATTACACTTGATTTTGGTCCATGGACCTTTGATCCAGGTTGTATAATTATTGAATTGACCCAGACAGTATAATTATTGAACTGTTCGAAGTGGATAACTATTGTTTATAATTTAAATATTTTGTTATATTTATGATGTATGTCATGGTTTTCGAATCATCATTGACCTAGATGGTTGGACCGTTCAGCTCAAAATCGTTGAGGCAACCGGTTCCTTTTCACTTTTAACCCATATTTTGGCCAAAAACCATTCACTTGATCAATAACTCACTGACTCAAACAGTAGAACCATCAACTTGTTCGACCTGAATAATGGTTTTTGGTTGTTCTTTTTTATTTTAATTGTTTTATTTTTTAAATTGAAATGGGCCATCAGTTTGAACCTAATGGTCGAATTGCTAACCCAGAAACCTGTGGCCAAAGCGATTCCAATTTCAAGTCGGTTTTTAAAACAATGATGAATATCATAAGTGACCCATTTCAAATCCAATGAACCAAAAATGGTTCCAATTTCGGTTTGACTTTTAAAACATTGGGCTTTGAGGTTCTTCATTAATGAGGTTATATAGGTTAACGAGGGTAACTTAATTTAAAGTTGATTAATTACATTATTTAATTTAAGTTCATTTAACTTAATTAAATGAACTAATTATGATAGTTATGTTACTCATTTTAATAAGGTAACACTTTAATTAGCTAATTAAATAAATTATTTATTAATTAGTAATTTTAATTAATTTGCTAACTAAAATAAATTAGTGCCTTAATTTAATGAGGTAACTTTACACGTAGTTGATAGTATCAAGAAAAGATTAAACTTGAATTAAGTTATTATGTTAATGAAACTTAGTTAAGATAATTAAATTTAATTATGTTAATTAAATTAGCTCTATTTAGGGAAGTTTAAGTTAATCTAAGTTAAACTTATGTTAATGTTAATTTAGGGTAGTTCAAGTCAATTGTGTAATTTTACATGTAGCACGTGTAATCCTACATGATTAAAAGCAATAATTATGTTTAATGGGCCATGCTTATGTTTTAAAAATGAGAGAGAGAGAGAGATTTTAGGAATATTTTTAGGTAATTGAAAAGTGATGATTAATAGAAACAAACAAATTTAAGACAACATGTTTCCATTAGGGGTGGGAAAGGGTGAGGGAGCATGTTGAGGTAGCAACTCTAGAGGCTTGGAAAGGGAATAATACACCTCCTCTTGAATTGCAGGGTTAGGGTAATGGAGCAAGAAGAGGCCATTTATGTGACCATCCTTGTATTAGTGTATGTATTGTTGGAATTAGGATGAAAAATATTATTATATGTTGATTGATCATATGTTATATAGTTGGAATCAATGTTTTGAAAACTGACCTGAAGGTTGAACTGGTTTTACCTCCGAGTTGCATGCCACCGGTTTGACCATTTGGATCGAATGGATCAAACCATGCCACACCAATATATGTATGTATGTATGTATGTATGTATGTATGTATGCATTGTTTTATATTTAATTTATATTTTATTTGTAAAGTCTATTAAGTATTGTGATTTGAGGCAAAAAAAGGGTTTTGGCAAAAACAGTAAAGCAATGCATAGACCTTTAAAAGTAACTCAAAAAAAAAAAAAAAAAAGATTGCCCAAATCAGACATGGAGTACACAGTTATGGCCTCCAAAAATTTATATACACATTTAGTATGCAACCCATGATCCAGTCACTGGGTTGAAAGGCCAATAATCCAACCACCTGGCCAACGGATTTTGTTGAAATCAATAATGTGTAGCCAATTTTCAGGTTTTAGTTAAACTAGATCCAAAATCATAGCCAGATAACAATTCAAACAATTCAACCAGTTGGGTCAACCATAGGTTTAAAACACTGGTTGGAATTATCATTGAACTTTCATGTATTTTTGAACTGTCTAATTGATGTACTCTATAGATAGAGAGTTGGTATGGGATTTTGATTGATTAACTATATAAATATGAGTATGTTGTTCTAATGCGTTAATAATATGGATCATTCATTTGTCTCTTGGGTCACTTTGGAATCACCTCTTCACACCTATATATCACACCCATGGTCTAGGGATCTAATCATCTTCATTAATATCACATATATGGGGCCAAGAGAGAATCAAGGTGTAATTTTTATTTCTAGGAATCAAGGTTCAAATTTTTGATACGATACATTTTATATCGGGCATATCATATCGTATCCTTTGGGTCTTGATACGTCTATTACGAGTATTTAGGGACCCTAATCCTTTTTAATAAAAAATATGTGTATTTAACTTCTTAAAAGCCAAATTTTGAAAATTTACTAAAAATATATGTTTTCACGTGTACCTAAGTACCATATACGATACACAAAGACATATAGATATTTTAAACCTTGATAGAAACAAAACCAAAGATCAATAAATCCACAACTGTGAGGCCCTAAAAACAGCACAGATGTTTCACTCTTGGAGTTTCCACTCACCAGTATTAGAAGGGAGATGAGGAAGGAAGAAGGTTATTTGTTGGCAGTTTTTGAGAAATAAAATTTGCATTGTTAGTAAGTGCAAATGGGACAATAAGTACAAAAATTTATATCATATAAGAGTGCAAATCACAATTAGAAGCACATAGATACCAAACTGAATTTAGAAGATTTGCAAACAAAGCGCTTTGGCAGGTCCATCCGTTCTCCCTAAAACTAAAAATCATACAATATCTTCCGAAAGACTTCCATGTGATCAGATTGCAATGAAATGGCCAATAACACGCTGCCATCATTGGTCGGGCTAGGTAGGATATAAGACAGACCTTCAGAGTAGACAACAGCGGGGCCTACATGGATGGGGCGGCCCCACCCAAAATCTGCATCATACAGTGGCAGTCGAGCCCAGCTCACCATCCAGAAATTAGGGCTTCGGAACATGTGGGGCCCACGTACGAAGGGCGTCAGATCAGGCTGCAACTCCAAATAATCAATGGCTGATCTCACGTATTCGTCGTTCATCCGGGTCACCACATCATGGACTCTTCCCACAGCGTATCCTAGGGGCTTGGACCGGAGCTCACCGCACAAGGCATTCGATGTAGTTAACAAGATCCCATTTCCAAAGTAACCCGGAGGGAGTGGGGGCCGCAACCTGGACCGTCCATCAACGGTGATGAAGAGGTTGGTATCTTGATCATCACGGAGGCCGCGTGCCTTACTCACACAGCGCCAAACGTGTCCAGCGAGTACCGCGTAGGTGCTGTAGTTGAGAGTGTTGTCATTTTCTTTGGCGTTGGTTTTCAGGGTGTTGATTTGATCAACGGTGATCTTGAACTTGGCCACAGCAACATCCGTGGGACCGGATTGGGATTTAGGGGTTTTGATGGATGGAGGGGGAAGAAACTCGATATGATGGAACATAGGTGTGGGTGGTTGACGCGCGCGTAGCGAGGATCTATCTAAGAAGGGTGGGATTTTGGGTTGAAGGCCACGCGCCATGTCTGACCATGAATTGATGAAGTGGATGTCGGAAGTTCCGTCCACCAGCGAGTGGTGCATGCCCACTCCAAGACAAACTCCACCACACCTGAATCGAGTTACCTGTAACCATTGAAAGTAACTGTAAATTAGGGTAAATACCTTATAGTTTGTGGGGTCCATTGGCGGAGCCAGGAATTTTTTTTGGAGGGATTAAGTTAAACAATAAAATAAAATAAGAAGTGTAGGTAGAGTTTCAAGGGAAATGGGTCGGGAAAGTTTGGGTATAGAAAAAATAAATAATTTTTTTTTTTTAATTTTGGGAGTTGGAGGAGTATTGGAGAGTGATCATTAACATCTCAGTTAAAAGTTTTTTTTTTTTGTGGGGGGTGGGGAATATCCCACTTTAGTGTTTTTTAGCTCTGCCTTCATTTACTATTAATTATATAAAGGGAAAATTCTCCAATTTTTTTGAATGGAAGAATCAAAGATTTGAGACGGTTAATTTTTTATCAACGTTTAGATGATTGATAAAGAAAATTAAATGATACTCGAAGGGTATTTGTATCTTTTTAAGATGTCACTTAACGGGTGATTAACAGCTTGTTAACAGCAAGTACTGGATTGTTACATTTTAAAAGTTCGAATACTGAATTGTTGTATTTTAAAGCTTGGGAACCAAAGTGACACTAGACCCAAAATATAGGATATTAATCAGGAAATTTTTCTTATATAAATGGTGATTTTAATTAATGTATTTGATTTAAAAAATGTAGAAAAACCATTACAAATCTAATATAGGTTTCCTACTTTTTCCTTTCTTTCCTTACATTTTCCTTTAAACCAAATATAACCTAAAAGTTTTTTTTTTTTTTCCCACAAGTATACTTGGCTCCGTGTATAATCACTTGAGGTTAAGCGGATGGAAAATGGGCCACCTCGTTGTCTAATCCCATTTACATTTAGAAAAATAAATGGATTTGATTAATACCGGATGGTGGCTGAATTGATAGGATCTTTGACTTATAGGAGTAGAGACTTGGGTTAAATCTCGATACCACAAGGATTGGGGGTCAAAGCCCAAGCGAGGGGGATGGACTATCCTTATCGTATAGCCACATAAAACAATAAATGAATAAATGGATTCGATACCGGAAAGACATAATATCTAAAAATCTTATGACCAATCTATCTTTATCATAAATGTGGTAATCAAGCATGTTTTATTTTTTAAAATTCAAGGGTGAGTTTTGATTGGTTAAAGTTAATACCATATCTTTTCAGCATCATAGATTTTTTTTTCTAAATAAATAAAATCTTTAATTTTTTTTTTTGTGTGCCCAGCCCGTTTTCTCCTGATTTCCAATGCAAAAATTAAATATAAATGCAATAGACATACACACAACCATATCAAACAGCCCCTAGATTTTGAGCATCCATTTTAATGGTTTAGATTCACATCTTTAATTAAAAAGATAACAATTGAAATTGTTTAATAATATTAATAGGAAAGGGTAAAGGCATCCTATAAATTAGGGTTTTGTCCATTCCTATCAGGCATGTGAGCGTACCACATTTTGCTCACATGTCTTTCATTGAATGACAGAGTGGGCCCTAAGTTACGAGGCAATGATCCAAGGCCGGGCCCAGGCACGATGACATTTTGCTGCCTTTTCCTAGGCACCCATTCTATGGTGCTGGATTTGTTGTTTTGGTTAGGGTTTGTTTTTTTTTTTATTGATAACACAGTTGTTTTGGTTAGGTTAGGTTTGTGGAATTCTAATTTGAGTTGGGTCAGTGTTTGGGGTTCAATTCATTGGATTGACGGATCTAAACCCAACCAATCTCTAGTCTGATTTGCATTCCCTAGTTTGACCATCATCGTTTCCCCAAAATCTCATGAACAATCCCACCCTATCAAATTTGCATTTTTCATCTGTCTGATTTATATCAAATTCAGTGTAAAATGAATTTAATATTGTATTTTATGAACAAAATGAAGAAAAAAAATTCATGTTGTAGCAGAGACTTGGATCATTTTCCATTGTCATCGAGGTTAGGCATTCCTTATTTTAAGATTTATCTCCTTTTTACAGTTAAAATGCTCCTATAAACATAAATTTTTAACAGAAAAAAGGAAATAAGTGATGGAGTGCCAAATGCAGCATTAATCTTGTTGTTTGAGGTTAGAATTCAGATCACCCTGCCCTAATTTCCCTCACTACAATTAATTGCTTTTAATATGTAAACTGTTTACCAGGAGGTTAACCAACGAGATCAGTACCTGTAAGAGAAGCAGAGGATAAGAAGAGATGTCTTTGCTGTAATCCACGGCCGGAATGAGCTGCCGGAGTACTGGAGAAGGTGTGAAGTCACCGAAATCATCGATAACGGAATTTGTTTCGGCCTCAACGAATAACACGCCCTCGCCATTGCAGTTGATCTCAAGCCGACCATCCTGATCATTTCTGTTCAGCCTTCCGGCAGTGGGATAGAAAGGCACAAGAACCTTGCTCAAAGCCTGTTTAAGAAGATGAAGGTTGAAGAAGCCGGTAGAACCATCGGAGGTGAAGAAGTAAACAGTGGGAATGTGAGCTCTTCGCACCAGCTGGTCTGCGTTAGAGATCCATAGTGTCCGCTCTGGTGTAGGCTCTGCTGGGCCCACCGTAGTCGACTCCTTCACGTTGATTATCATCTTCCACAGAAAACTCGAGTGCATCAAGAATGACAATTGCTACAAGCTTTTCTCCCTCTCTTCTCTCACTTAGATTTTCCCTTCAGTTCTCGGGATCTAGAAAAAAGGGTAAATTACAAAGACCCCTGTACTTTCTTTTGTAACAAAGACTCCCTTATCCTACGACGGGAAAACGTTAAATTATCAAAATATCTCATTAAACTTTTTCTTGCCCTTTTTCTCTTAAAACCTTTTTAACCTAGGAAATGAATATCTGGTCCTGCAGAAGAAATTGCTTCTGAAAAAAGGAAAAAATAATAAAACAGTAAGGTAAATTGTCTTACCTAGCCATTTTGAAGAAATTGTTCAGTTCATCCCATCTATACATTGGTAAGCAGTAAGCAACCCTGTGTGAAGCCAAATAGCTCGGAGGGGTTGGTCACGAAGGAGAAATATTGAAAAGTTATGTCTACTCACATAGGCTTACTGAATGTTTACCATTGGTTAAAAGGACTCACCTTCCATCTCGATCTTTATTTACTTTTGCAGTTTGTAGCGATCTGTTCTGTTCCTATCTGTATCAGTGGGTGTTTTCTGTAACGAAACCGCTTGGGAGGATTGTTACTACCGTCACAACAAACCCAAATCCATGCCATCGGAGAGCAGCAATAGCAAGCCATGTCCCATCAAAACAGTGGTGGACTGGTGGTTTTAGTGCAAGAGAACCGCTCCTTCAATCACATGTTGGGATGGATGAAGTCCCTCAATCCTGAAATAGATGGCGTCACAGGACAAGAATACAACTTGTTGTCCACAACCGATCCCAACTCAACGCGTATTTACTTCGGTGATCGGTCGGAGTTCGTTGATCCCAACCCTGGTCACTCATTTGATGCAATATACGAGCAAGTGTTCAGTGTCCCATGGGGGCAGTCATCTTCTGGTGATGATAAGGTTGCGACGACGAATGGGTTTGCTCAGCAAGCAGAGAGCGTACAGAAGGGGCTGTCGGAGGTAGTGATGAATGGGTTCAGACCAGAAGTGGTGCCGGTTTTCAAGGAGTTGGTGATGGAGTTTGCTGTGTGCGACCGGTGGTTCACGTCGCATGGTATAGTCACTCTGCAACATCGCATGGTATAGTCAACAATGACACCAGGAAGCTGATCCATGGGTTGCCACAGAAGACCATTTTTGATTCGCTTGATGAGGCCGAATTCTCTTTTGGGATATATTATCAGTACCCTCCTTCCACGCTTTTCTACAGGTGAGGGTCAGCTGCCTCTCTCTCTCACAGAGTTGGGTGGTATGAGGATTAAAAAATGGTTATGAAGATTAAAAAATATTGCAACCGTTGATTTTTCATCTTTTTTGGATGGAAGTCTAACGGAAAGGGCCTTTTATCTCACAATCATAGGATAGGTCTTTGTCACAAAACAAAGTACAGAAAAAATAAATCGGATTTATTCTTCACACCATATTTGATAGCCTCTTGCAGCTGTGTGCTTGAAAAGATCTTATTATTTCTATGTTTTGTTTTTATTCATAGAGAGATATTCTTAATAAACGGCTACAAGGGATGTAAGCATGGTTTTGTGAGGATCCTGTAAAGTGGTTGTTTTGGCACAAGCAAATAAGCGATGTAAGATGGCATTCGGCATCCCGCCACAAGAACCATATCCATAGTTCCATACATGGTGGGTTACAATTACATCTAGCAATTGGGTTGGGGTGCATCGGGTTCGGGTTGAATTTCGGGTTGGGCTGTTAAATGCTACACCCTAACCCTAAATATTCGGGTTGGGGTTGACCTATGGGTCAATTCGGGTCATCCCAAAAAATAGCTGAAATTAAAAGAATAAAGAAGAACTACATATAAAATGTCAAAATTAAAAGAATTAATCTTCAAATTCCAAATATAAAATAAAAAAACTTGAATATTTAATAATTTAAAGAGTAAATAATAAAGAATAAATACAATAGAAAAAATAAAGAGTGGAAATTTCTAATAATGCATAAATAGTCCCAATTAGACTTGACAATCGGGTCAGTGGGTTGACCCATGACCCAACCCAACCCAACCCAGTTTTTTTCTAGGTTGGGTCGGGTCAGGTCATTCTCACATTCAGGTAGCTAAATATGAGACGCTAACCCTATTTTTTCGAGTTGGGTTGGGTCAACTTTCTGCCAGGTCTAGTTACAATCATACGTACATAGATGAAGTTGGAACATTATGTAGGCTATACAGTACAACCATACAAAATTCTAAAAAGTAAAGGTGCCCAAGATTCAATTAACTAAAGAGGGTTTCTCTCTCTCTCTTGGTGGGAAGAGGGTTATTCTTTGCGCGAGGGTCTCTCTTGGTGGGAGGGTTTCTCTCTACATGAGGGTCTTTCTCTTTGCGGGAGGGTTTCTCTCTTACATCTATAGATGTGTTTTTCTCTCACACTCTGCGTAAGGCTTTCTCTCTTACACCTATGGATGTGAGTTTTTATTTATTTCTCTTCATATCAGTGTTTGTTGGAGAGGTTCTTTGGACAGATTTGAGAGACGACAATTTTGATCCAGGCCTATGGAGCAAACTTGGGATCTTTGGTTCTATTCATTCTAATCTCCATTTTCTCTTTGCTTTTTTACTTATTTCTATCGGGCCTTGGTCGTAACGATGTTATCGTTCCTAACAAGCCTTTTTCTAGCAATCTTCGAGTTCTCTCCGGCAACGTTTATGCTCCAATTGTTTCGGTTTATATAACGATATGGATGGATGGTTTTTTTGCACAATTTATGCCCCTATAGTTATAGGTTACAACTTCTTTTGTGCACGTTTGGCTTTTTGTGGGGCCCATTCCTTGAATGTTTGGAAGGTGGAGCATTAGGGAGAGTTTTGTAACAAGAGGCGATCTTGGGTGCCATGGTACCTGTTTTCTCTATACCCCTTGAGGGTTTTGCGTAGATTCGAACTCATTTGGTAGGGAGACACACTTGCTGACTTCATCTCTATTGGAGGCATTTAGCCGACCTTTTTGGTGTTTCTTAAATTTGCGTCAATTGTAGAGATTTTTCAAGTCGTTTTTCTCCCAATGCTTGTGGTTACCTGTTTTTTTGTCTCAGCACGCTTAACATGTTTTTTTCGTTGTATTTTTCATTGTTGTTAATTTTTCTACTTTATAACCTAAGGCTCAGTTTAGAAGTAATACAAATGCAAATATGTACAGTGTAAATACATACAAAATAATACAAAATATAATGTTTTGTACTCTACATATTTGCATTTGTACTCCTTTCAAACTCAACCTAAGCATTTATGAATGAATATTTCCTTTAGGTGTAAAGAAAACCAAATCTTAGCACATATTTAAAAAGGGTAAAACACTTAAACCTGCCTTGGTTTTTCATATAAATACTTAGACCTCCCCTCATTTTTTAAAATTGACTATAACATCCCTTATTGGTTGATGTCATCAAACAAACACCTCCCCTTCTTTTAATTATTTATTAAGATCCGAACAAATTAAATTTTTTTAAATCCCAACTTTATCCCTCTAAGATCCTTTGATCATGTCTAACCACTAAAATGAAATCTAAGAAATAGAGATATCTGAATAGATACAAGGAGATGCAATAGCTCAATAACAATTATTCTTTCAAGATTTTTGTTCCTTGTAGACCTGGTGTTATTAGGTAGGACCTGTCAATATATATATATTTGTATTCTGGTTCACTTTTGCTCGTGTTTGGCAACATAACATTTTTGCATTGACAAATGACAGATCAATGCATATTTACATTGATAATAAAATTAAAAGTGCATCAATAAAAAAGAAGTAAATTTGCATTCAAGTGGGCTTTTGATAAAAAAATATATATATGCTTTATTGGAATTCGTGTTTGCATCCATTACAACTAAAAGTCTGTTTGGTAAGAAGGTAAATTTGTCAATGCAAAACTAACACAAACTTTACAATTTATATGAACCATTTTACACTCTACATATTTGCATTATTTCCAAATGTAGTCTTAGACACAGGGGAGGATTTAGTTTAATTTGAAAAGAGAGGGGAGGTATCGGTATTTATAAAAATACTAGGGGAGGTTTAAGTCTTTTACCTGTTTAAAATTTAATTGAAATCAAACCAAACCAGCCAGTTAATTAATCGATTGGTTGATTTGTTTGTTTTATATATCAGTTAATTTCGATGATGATTTCACAGAAAATGACACTATGTAACATCAGAATTTGAAAAACTAGTGATTTTTTTTTCTGGTTTTTGGGAAATCAGCCAAAAATCAATTATTGAAATCAACCCTTTTCAGAGATCACTTTTTCTGGTGATTTCCTGATTTTTATCTGATTTCGATTTTTTGAGGATGATATGGCATCCAACATAACATTGAATAATAACTCTAATACAAAAATAATCGGCCCTTGAAAATCAGTATCAAACAGACTCAAAACTGATTTTTCAAAAATCAGCTTACGATACCAAACAACAATTTTTGATGATTTTTCAAAAATCATTGATTCCAGAAATCACCTATTTATAATTTTTGAATAATCGGCAAAGAGAAATCATCATAAACGGTGCCAAACATTACCTTAGTTAAACAGATTTTAGATTCAGATTACTAATCTTTTCGGTTTGGTTTTTCAGTTTCTCAGTTTGCAGCTGTAGTGTCATGTGGGTGGGAGATATTAAGGCATAAAAGGGTAAATTTATTGAAAGAATAGTTCGATTGTCCAAGTTTGTTACCAGCAAAAAGCGTGATAACACGGCATCCGTGGATTGGGAACATCTCACATTATTGAAAAATCTGCTGGAAACATTTGTAATCTAGCAAATTCATTAGACGAGTCTGCTTAAGTTGGATATTGCTCCATGCACTAATAGCTCTCGGATGAATCAGGAAGAAAATTTTGGATGTAGAAATTGTGGCTCTAAATCCACCTCATTCCAATGCCACACAGCTCTATAGAGGTTTATATGTAAGAATTCAAGTTTAATTTTCTAATTCAAAGACAAGATTCATTCTGTTAATTACAAATTAAACCTGATTTAATCTCTTAAATTAAAAGCTTAACTATAATATTAGAAAGGCACCGTAAGTTAAAAAGGAAATTCAACCCAAACCCAAGTTCATTGCATGAAAAATAGATCCCACACAAACAAACCAACAAACAAAAACTTACTGAGTGACAAGCATTTAGAAAACGAGATCGAACGAGTCCCAATTAAGAGATAGCTTACACCCCAAATCAACAGGATTAGATTGTCATTAGACCACTTGATTCATGCATCATCACTTTCAGAGCTTTTAAGGAATTCAAATAGAGCATTTTACCAATCACCACTGTTCAAATATTTGTTTTAGAAACATGACTTTTAGATAATATTTTTTAAATCAGATCGTTAAAGAATAAAAACATATTCAAGAACCCTTCCCAACAATTTAACCTTTTAAGTCGAATGATTCTTTGATCTGTTTGATCAAGTGGTCTAGTGTCTAATTTTCACCACCCCATTATAATTAATTAAATTTCAGTATAAGAAATGGGTAGTTTTACGCTTTATCCCGTTCTAAGCCTGATTGGCTTTCATATCAGAGGGTGTATTAG